ATACTGACTAATTTACACATTTGCTGTACAACAAAATTGGGTAAACTACTCTGCTGCTTCAAAAGGAGTTAATTTATCAGCTATATTTCTTTGTTGTTATTGTTCGACATTTAATTTATAGGATTCCCTCGTTCCTTACATGCTCCCGAAAATCTGTAATTGTTATTTACATGTTTTCTAACGTATCCTTGTTCAGCTATAGTTCATATTTGCAGCCGTATTCTGAAGCTTATGAAAATAAACCAGTCGTATATTAAAGCTTTTTCATTGATGCTCTGTATAATGCGGTTGATCGCACCTTAGAAATTTCTCCGGCTCCCCCGGTAGCTCAGCGGTATCACTGACAGCTTATAATGCTAAAAATAGGGTTTTGATAACCGTTGTCAGATATATAAACACTGTTTAGTGTAGGTAGTATTAATTAATTTATTTTGCGAATTAATATTTCATGATTGTTTAGTTGTTGTTTTTTTTATAATAAGAGAGTTAAAAGTAGACGATTATTGGAAATTATGTTTATGATTCATTGATGTAGAGGCTACCGAACGTCGCGTGAAATTTATTGATGTCGATGATATAGAGATTTCTAGAAGGCGAGCAGACGATATAAATAGTATGAGACAAACGGGAACAGCAGACAGACAGAGAAGACACGGGAAGTAGAAGTTCGGCCAAGGAAAGTTAAACGTAAAGTTAATTGCGTAGGAGTGAAAGGCCTAATGGTTGATAGTGAAAGGCCTAATATAGGCTGAACGATTAATATGTTAGATGAAAACTAACAGTTTTAAATGAGATAAGAAGTATAGTTTATTTCGTCAAAGCGAGTTCTAAAGTAATTCAACCAGCCTGAGTGCACTTTGACAAAAGGAACAGACGATATCTGAAGGACGAGGACAAGCTGCAACACCACCTTAATGGGAAAACGTATACAAATATGGAAGGTGTTAAAGAGGACATCGACATGTTTTTTGTTTCAAAGCCAAGTGATTTCTTTAATCAGGGCATTAACAACTTGACTGTAAGGTGAAAAAAGCATCATCGATAAGAATGGACACTATTTCATTTAATAAATGTTTTGATATATAAGTTGTTTGGGTTTTTCTTCTAAAAAAGCGACATTAATGTCTTGACGACCTAATATATATATATATATATATATATTATTTTAGAAAATAAGTGGGGTGCTTGCTGTTTTTAATTTATCGCCAACAAATCACAGACACCTACTGTAGAAGTATCCTTAGCCCAACACCTCTTACTAAATACTACTACTATGTATAATATTAAGCAGAATAAGCCTCATTATTTTGACATCCACAGTAGGCACAGCACAGCTACCCCATTATGTAGCTTTGTGCTTAATGTCAAACAAATTGCTTCGAAGTTTGACGCAGTAAGAAGGTTAACTCGTTCTTTTTTCTTCTCAGACTTTTCATTTTGTTCTATCGTCTAGGCGGCAAGTTAGATGCGTACGCTTTATCAATTTTACAGATCAGTATCTATAAACCTAAACTTATAAGGAGTATAAATAACTTGTGTTAGAGCGTAGATGTAGGTATTCGAAGTTACATAAGTATGTTAGAAATTTCAACATGTAGGGACATTTTGATAAATGAAAAAAAGACGATGATAATGTATATGAAAACGTCCTTCAACTTCAGTCAGAAGCACATGTGTTTACGTCTTCATCCATAACATTCATTTATCCGCCCTGACTTGTTATATCTTCAATAATCTCTATAGTAAGTTTGTCCTAAAACATATGCAACAAAATTCTAGATTTCGAAATGCTTAACCAAAATGATAATCTGGGAAAATGTAATAAATCACGTGATTTTGTATTGAGTAAATCCAATGTTTAGTTTCAGTTTTTTTTTTTTTTTAGGTTTATAACTCTAAACTAAATCTATCCGATGAGTAAACAAATTATAGATGGCGTGTGTCTGGTAGATAAATATGCAGAATAATTAATACATACTCCTCTTATGTTGGATGTGGCCGATTCTTCTTTTTATTTTTAGAATGTATTATTTTCTACACTTGAATTTTTAGCTAGAGACTCGTGGATTACAAGTTTCTGTTACATTTTATTTTACTTTTTTTTCTATTTTCAAGTTTTATTCTTTGGTTTATTTGTAACTCATTTGGTATATTTTTTCTATAAAAGAGTCTTTATAGTTCTGCTTTCACAAGATTCATTCTGAACTTTCTCTCTAGTTTGTTTGTTGTTTCGCACAAAGTTACACAATGGTATCGAAACCCTTTTTAGTGTTATAAGCATTTAGACTTATCGCTGTGCCACTGGGGAGGGAGGGGCGTTTATTTTCATACTTTGTCAAATTAATGCTCAGAATTGTTAGTAGTACATTTTATTTCTCAAATATATAGTTTGTTTTTGTAATCTCCTGAAATTGCTACTTGAACGAATCCTCCTTCGTTAATACACATTTAATGGTTCAGTCCTTTGTGTATTATTCTTTATTCGTAATGTACAGAATTGTTACGACAATTATCTATTGAATATTTGTTCTAAACAATGAAAAATGTTGGAGAATATTTTACTCTTTTCTAGAAATCAGTAGCTTTTGTCTTTATTTAGAAAATTTTATTTTGTGTCTCAAATTTATTTTTCTTTTCCATGAACGCTAATTGGCTATGTGGTGAAGCTCTCGATTTTGTAGCTGGCGAGCCATGCTCGAATTCGTGCAATACCAAAAACATTTCCCACATTTTCAGTTGTGGTTGCGTTATAACACTAATAGTCAATTTCTTTATGTGAATAGTGACTGGTAGGATGCTGCTGACTGATTGCCTTTCCCATGATCAGTAGTTCAGTAGCTTTGCCGTGAATACAAGATACAAATACTTTTTTTTCTACGAAGAGTATTGTGTGTAGCACACGCCAGATTGTTTGGCATGATTTGAATTTCGCACAAAGTTAACCAAAGATTATCTGCATTAGCCGTCCCTAATTTAGCAATGATAGACTAAAGGGAAGACAACTACAAAACACCACTCACCGCCAACTCATGAGTTAAACTTTTACCAATAGTGGGATTGACTGTCACATTATAACCCCCACGGCTGAAAGGGGCGAGAATGTTCTGTGATGGGAATTCGAACCCACGACCCGCAGATTGCGAGTAGAGCGCCCTAACCACCATGCCATGTCAGGCCACACATGTCTATCAACGTATAGTTCATATCGGAGCACAACTAAGAAAGCTAGTGTGACTTCTTTTTCTAATTTTCTGATAATTGCATGGTGCTGCCATCTCACAGCGTAAAAGCATAATAGGGCTGAAATTTTCAAAGGAAGTTACTTCTTTGGTAATGTGTCTTAAAGTTGGATGACTTTTTTTAACTGCGAGTTTTTTGAAATCATATGACTTAGCAGAAAAGTAGTTATTAGAAAATTAATATAGTGCCAATATATCCTCTCCCTCGAATTGCAATACGGCAAAGTAATGTATTTTAGTATTATGTTTTTATTTTCATGTGCTTAAGATATATATCAACAGGAACAACTGTGATGTTGGTGGATTGAATGTTAATATACATGCGATGTGGAAATAAACATTATAAGTTTAAGACATTTAATTCAAGTTAGATTTTCATTTCATTCTGTACTGTGGGACGGAAATAGATGATGTGGACCAACATCATATTTCTTTCTTTGTTTTAGAGCAAAGCCTCATTAAACTATCTGCTGTATTCACCGCGGGGAATCGAATCCCGGATCTTAGCATTGTAGGTCCATAAACCTACTGCTGTCCCACCTGTGGACGAGAATTTTTTATCAGATAACGACTTTCATTAATGTGCCTGACTTTGTTAGTGTGTTATATAAAGCTGCAATTTGAACTGATTAATCACTGGTCAACATTTGGTCGAAACACCTTAATTCAAAACTTAGTTGAATGACCAATTTTCCATAGCAGATGGGTAATTATTTTTCATACATCGATTTTATTAATTTGCGTATGTTTTTTTAGTTTAAAGCTATAAGGCGATTACAATATTCTTAAAACTGACCACTCAGCATCAGTAATGATAAAAATACATCTCTATCATTTGTCTTCATTATCTTCTTTGCATTGAGTTCTTTTTGTAAAAAAGTTTTTTCCTTTACTTGTTTTTTCAATGTAGTGTTTCAACAGACATGGGAAGGTTGTACTTATAATCAAGTTCTAAATACAATGAGGTTCCAACTGTAATATTTATTGATTATCCGTTATTGGCAGGTAATTCTTGTTTCATCCTGTATTTAAGGTTTTTAAAAGAACACTAAATTTCTGTAAGAAAACTAGCTTCAAGGGGTAATGATAACATCGTTTACAATAGAATTATGATTTTTTTATGACTACTAGTTATTAATACTTATAAAAGTGGATACTCCGTTTGAAACTATGTCACCTCAGTGAAATGAGTTGACACCATTGTTTTGGTTTTTGAGTTATCATGTAATAAAAAAGAAGAAGAAGAAGAAATTCAAACTTTATGTTATGATATTTACAGATATTTCTAGAACTTGTCACTAATTCATTACATAGATATTGTTATAAATTAAACACTGCATAGTATTGTAAAGTTTTGATGATTTATTGAGAAAATATTTAAAATATCATTTCGATGAACAATTCGAAATGGTATTTCGAATTGTTGACTTCTCTACATTGGCAGCGCTACCGTCTGCCTGATATTATATATAATTAAATTTCATATTATAGAGGGCAATAAAAAAACGCAGTCATAAAACAAACATCCATCACCTGAACACAAATCACAAGGTGGGTCATTATGTAATGTGCCCTGGTGGAGAATGGGATCTATCCTAGTAACTAAAGTTGGGCTTAGTATAGTAATACCTTAACCTATTGGTATTTATGTCTAAGCATCATATTGAGGGCTGGAATGGTAATTTCCAAAACAGTTTTGCTGTCTTCCCATTGTTGTATTGTATTCTAATTATTTTTTTCTTATTATTGTTTTTTTTTTAGAGCAGCCACCTTCCCATATTTAGCTGCAGATAGCGAAAGGCAATGCATATGTGGAATAGAGAACCCACTTCTTCTGGTATCTCAAAACCCATCAAACTTTGAAGATGCTCTTAGGGCACCTTAGGGAGTGGCATTGAGAGTCGACTTTTGGATCTTTCTCTCCTACGGCACTTCCCGGGAACCCACATATCACATGTTTTCGTTGAATCAGTATGTGTGCATTAAAATATTACGAGTACATTATACAAATTTCCATGCATCTTTATGGTTCAATCGTTAAAGTTTGTACACAGTTTTTTTTTGTATAATTTGCTGTTGATGTTAGATTATTAGATTGTTTCAACTTATTTTAACCTAATGTTTAACAGTGGATTTACAAAATGACTCGGTATCTTTGTTTTCGGAAGAAAAAGAAACAGTGTAAAGAAAATGATGGGTGTGGTACTTAATTTCCTGTAAAACAACGTAGCTGATATTCTGTTTATTAAAGCTTCTTGAAGATATAGTGGTTGAAAGTTTTATAAGCAAACTGGTTTCTATGAATTAAGAGGGCGTGGTAAGGTGGTTGGAGTGCTCAACTCGCAATCTGAGGGTCGTGGATTCGAATCCCCCATCACTGAACGTGATCGTCTTTTCAGCCGTGGGGATATTATAAAGTGGCGGTCAATTCTACTATTCGTTGATAAAAGAGTAGCCTACGAGTTGGCGGTGGGTGATGTTGATTAGCTGCCTTCCTTCTAATCTATCACTACTAAATTAAGGACAGCTAGCACAGATAGCCTTCGCGTAGCTTTGCGCGAAACTAAATGCTACTATTCGTTAGTAGAGTAGCCTAATACTTAGTGGTGGGTTGTGTTGATTGACTATCTGCCCTCCTTTTAGTCTATCACTGCTAAATTAGGGACGGCTAGCGCAGGTATCTCTTAAGTAGCTTTGCGCGAAATTCAGAACAAACCATACTACAGCCATATGGACGTAGAATTGGCCAAACATGCAAACCGTTTGAACCTGGATAATATAAACGTAGAAATGATCAAATTATTGATAAATATTCTAATATTTTAGTTATCCTTTTACCAAGAGAATATATTAAAAGGTTGCAAAATAAAATAATGAATACTTTGAGGCTTGAAAATGAGGTAGATATGTTTTGTAAACAAAAGTTAAATCAAAAGATGTTCCAGCAGGTTAATTTGGATTGTTAGAAGTCAACAAAAAGCTAGTACTGTGCTAAAGAAGCATTTAGAGATTTTGAACGTCTTTATACCAAATAAATCATTCAAACTCGTTGAAACCATTGTAGCTTCACGTTTACCGTCCCCCAGTGGCATAGCGGTATGTCTGTGGACTTAGAACACTAGACACCGGATTTCGATACAAAGCTACCCAATGGGCTATCTGTGCTCTGCCCACCGCAGGTATCGAAATTCGGATTCTAACGTAGTAAGTATGTAGACATACCGCTGTGCCACTAGGGTGCTCTAAAACAATTCTCAAACAAGCTTCTCTCGTCAACTTTATGTTTGGATTATTCAGTTAAGACTTTTCTTTTTTCTTCAAACTGATTACGAAAAGAAAATTGTGAAAAATAAATAATCCGTGTAACATTTTAATCTTGTTGCGATAATTTTTTAAGCTCAAAGCTTAAACTCTTGTTGTTTAGTTTTCCGCTGAAGATTGGTTTGTTTTGAATATCGCGCAAAGTTACACGAGGGCTATCTGCGTTAGCCGTCCCTAAGTTAGCAGTGAAAGACTAGAGTGAAGGCAGCTAGTTATCACCACCTACCGCCAATTCTTGGGCTACTCTTACCAACGAATAGTGGGATTGACTGTAACATTATAACGCCCCCACGGCGAACATGTTTGTTGGGACAGGGATTCGAACCCGTGACTCTCATGCCAGGCCTCGAATATCTTGAAAGTAACCAAGTGTTAAAATGTGCATTGGACCCTTAAATGATGGTAATAGCGAGGTTTTGTGGGTGATTATGAAATGGTAGGGCTTTAAATGTTTTCCTCTCCCCCGTTTTCAGAAAAGGTGATTTTAGCAATATTCCTGACCTTGGGCATTGACCTGAATCATTTAGACATTAATCTATTAGTGGTAATAATAAAATTGAGAGATTAAGAACTGATAAATTATGAGGTCTAGATAATGCACCATTTCTCGGGATTTTAAAGAGGTCAAAGATCAAATATGTAAACATCTGTCTTCCAGTTTAGCTAGATCAATAGACAATGGGCAGGAACATTGGAACATTCCTAATGTTACCCCTACTTTTATGCTAGTAAATCAAGTTTTGGAAATTATAGACCGGTTATTTTGTTGTTGTTTTTTCAGTGGGAATTATTCTAGAGTGTTAATGAAAGAAGCTTCGTAAAACCATTTAGTGGAATATAATGAAAAAATAACCAATATTGAGTCTCAAAGGGAAATACGACCTTGCTAATATGGCAGTTTTTCTAAGGGTTTTTCTTGTTATTATGATGATGAAAATGGTGTATATAAGTGAGGTTTATATGAATTTTTAGCACGCTTTTCATTAGGTGTCACACAGAAGATTAGGTAAGACAATCACATCGGGATAAGAAATGATTAATTGATTGGTTTATAGCTTGGCTGGTTAACAGAAAGAAAAAGGTTATTATTAATGGATCAGGTAAAACTGAATCTTTGTTACTAGTGGGGTGTTTCATGGGGTCAGTTCAAGAACCTTTTTTTGTTCTTCTTATTTACATTAATCAATAGCGGCATAATTAGTAAAGTCTGTTGATATATTAAATTATTGGGTATTTCTAGTTGTATTGTGCTTGTTCGGGTACTACAGAATCACTTGAATCGCCTACAAAACATTGTTATAGAAAGAAGAAACGGGTACAAATAAAAATAATCTGCTACACCATTTTCTACAAGTTTAAATATTTCTCCTGAACTCGTGAACCAGCTTAATCATTATGCTCGACTTCAATGTAGGTTTTAGGTATATATAATAAGTAAATGCGTGCGCATGCACACACACACAATAATAATAACATTTATATTTTCAAGGTTGTAACTCGGGATGTTGACTATTTCACATCAAATTACGCAATTTCTAGATACTTTTACGTTAAGTTGTGCATTAAGTTTGATAATATGATGCATTATTGTAAATTTTACGAGTTTTTCTTTTTAAAGGATATAGAAGCAAATAACCAAAATCTGACTTGGATTCTACTTCAGTAAACTACATGCAGGACGTAAGGTTCTGTAAAGTACTTATAAATTTAATGATCATTACTCTTATGACAATTATAAAACGCTCCCTCTAAGTCCTGCAACAAAATCTTGAATCATGGGGTTCACAGACCGGGCACGCTAAATATAAGCTGTTTTCAAACCGAAATGTAGATAATTCTTTGTTTCATTAATTATGTTATGATTGTGATTGTCTTGTTGAATAAACTTAACACTAACATTCCTAATTATAGTTTATAATTGCCATTTTATATTTATATACTGTAATATTAATAATATAAGTCGGAAGTACGGATAATAATACCGCTGTGTATCATCAAGTTGAAGATTAGTACTTAAAATAGAATACACTAATGACTAATATTGATATTATGTAGGATAAAAAAACAAAACAAAGAAAAAACACATTCGTATCATTATTATAATACATATCACTAATAAGAGATTATTCATAGTCAACATCAACCGAATTAAATATCAGAAGCCCATAAGGAGATACAATAATCTCCTATTTGGATCAAATATTTTTGAAATTATATGTACTATATTCAAAGTAACTTAAGTAAGTATGAAAAATGGGATTACTTTGTGTGTTGTAATATATTTTTATTTATATGGATACTGAAACGTAAGTACATTGGCCCTCTCACGGGACATCTACTGGCCAGTTTGAGAATTTAGTATTTGAAAAAACACAGAAGTTTCGACAAACGGAAGCAAAGTAAATGTTTTAACATATGAATTATTCGTGGATACAAACCACTTTTTTCCTAAAGAGGGTTTCAGGAAAGAGAGTGTTACTTTAATCAGACAATTATAACTTTAACTGGAGATTTAACTAAATCTCATAACTGGATTAGAAATGAATAAGTAAAAAAAGTACAATGGAATGCATAGTCAGTTAAAACATTGTAGCTTTAACTGAATTATTCGAAGAAGCAAAATATGGACAGAACCTCGCAGTTGTAAGATATAACAAACTGACAAACTTTATACAAACTGTGATATGAACTTTCAAGTATTTATGATAAATATAACTGTAAAGTCAATAGTGACATAAAATATAAAAACAGATTTTGTTTTTCAAATAAGTGTAATATCGTGAAATACTACATGTTTTACACTCGTTTTAATTTAAACGTAAATATTACAAATTTTTTCTGTCTTTCTGTAGCTCCATTTTTAGAACATAGTATTGCTCAAGCAAGTTTCAAAATTTAAACTTTCCCCAGCACCTAATAGGGTCAAGTAGAGATCGAACACTTTCTTGTGTGACTCTCTTGCAGGAATAACAACGTGCTTTTACTTATCAAACCGAGTTATTCTTGTCAGCAAATAAGACATTAACTACAGGTGGACTAGCCCATGATCTTCACGGCCACGGTAGCTAACTAATCTAATCAGTACTAATCCTGTTTTCTCGTGTCATAAACTCGATAGTTTATTACCATATTTAAAACAGTGGGGGAGATTTTCGAGATATTCTCATCAGATTTGATAGAGACGTTCACCTACATAACGTTTAAGGAGAACTTACTTAGATCTTCATGGAGAATAAAATAGTTAGTTTAATTTGTGCTAAAACAATGTTTCTGTAACTTTAGCTTTTAAGTAAGATCTCTTAAAGCACTTGCGTTTGTTGCTGTTAACAAGTTCGTATATTTTTATGTAGGTCTAATCTCCGAGAACTCTTCAAGTTCTCTTCTAGCTTTAAGGATTACTTTCATTTTCATTAGTGCGACAACCGTTTGGCTTTCGTCTGTAATTTGATTTTGCAGTTGTTTAAGTACACTACTAAAGAACTCGTATATAATTTGTTTCATAGGATAGTGGTGAATAGGTTTATATTTACAGTATGGATTATTATTGTTCTGATGTAATCCGAGTGAGAACTTTGATTTCGCTGAGGCTAAAGTGAAAATTAACTATATAGTTTTATATTTTAACTTGGGGACACTCTCTTTCGGTGATTCTTTTTTGTTAGAGAGGGGAAGAGAACATGCACAAACAGTAACAAATTGTATTATATTACACATTGAATATTGTGTATTATATATGTTACACATTGAACATTGTACATTATATATGTTACACATTGAATATTGTACATTATATATGTTACACATTGAATATTGTATATTATATATATATGTTACACATTGAATATTGTATATTATATATGTTACTAAATAATAAGATCTCTATGAAAAATTGTAAAAAGTTACCAATTGTTTAGTGGCTCTGTTTCTTATAATATCTATCTTTCAAAAAGCAGTGTCTCGAAGATTCACCAAGATTTGATCACTTAACCAATACCAGTCATGACCACACCAAGCATTGTCCATTCAATTTTCATACGAGTTAACACACTTGAACAACGACACTGTCGACAACTATAAGGAGCCAAACAACCTTAACATGTCAAGGACTCAACTCTCTCCAATCACTCAACCTTGGCAGACTACCAAGAGTAACCTCCTAAGGATATTGGCCACCTGGAGCCACTCAATCTGGATAAAACTGGACAATAATTTGTAAAAATAGTATTGCGTTTAAAATCACTTTAGTATAGAATATGTTTTGGATAATCAGTGACTGGGTTAGACTGATTAACCAGCTTTAGAAGACCTATGATAAGGTAGTCCTTTTCAATTGATTGTGTTTTTTGTTGTTGTTGTTTTTCAAATATTATCGAGTTATTTGGCAAGTTTTATATCCCGTGAAACCTAACACGAACGATTCTAATTTCTAGCATTCAATAATTAACCAGGAACTGTGACCGTGTTTCCTGTTTTTTATAAAAAGGAAGTAGATTTTTTTAATCATTAGCCCTTTCCGGAAGGGAGGGAAGTCCACATGTCGCTAACATCCGTAAATTATTTTTACTTCTCGAGGTGGAAATACTTAACTGAATTGCGTAAAACCTAGAACAAACTTAGTAAGCAGTATTTAGTTTGGGCTTCAGTAAAGAAATCATATGATTTGTTTTGGTTATCTTGTTATTTTGTATGAAAAACATTAAAATTATTTCCTTTCGTTTTATAATTTCATATTTTTAATGTTAATCACAAAGTTCCATTTTATTTCCAATTAGTTTCAAGGTTATTGGTATTCCTTAATATGTATCCTTTGATACGTTAATTTGTTGATTTGATTAGTCACCATTTTCGGCTTAAATCGTAAAACACTGTAAAAACTGACAAAAACTGATGGTGTTGTTGTTTACAAACACAACGCATCGGACCTAGCACGGCCAAGTGGTTAGGGAGCTTGACTCACAATCTGAGGGTCGCGGGTTCGAATCCCCGTTCCACCAAACATGCTCGCCATTTCAGCCGTGGGGGGGGGGGGGTTATAACGTGACGGTCAATCGCATTATTCGTTGGTAAAAGAGTAGCCCAAGAGTTGGCGGTGGGTGGTGATGACAAGCTGCCTTCCCTCTAGTCTTACACTGCTAAATTAAGGACGGCTAACGCAGATAGCCCTCGTGTAGCTTTGCGCGAAGTTCAAACAAACAAACACAACGCATCGAGCCCCGAATTTTAATGTTGTAAGTTCGTAAACTTACTGTTCATCATCTGACTTTTGGAAATAGAGTCAATTTCCAAGATCTGCAATTTGTTCTTAAGCCTGTACAGTTTTGACGTAGTTTTCATGTATACAATAGTACCAAAATATATAATAATAAACCTAGCTCTAGAAATATCAAAAACTTCTGACAAATTTTATTACAATCCGAGATTAGAAATTTTGAAAGATTTGTTCAACTTTGCACTGAAAATATGTTTCATCTGTCATAAACACACAAACGGATTATACATGGGCAACCCTCTGTCATCTGGATTAAGCGAAATGTTTCTCAACAAAATAGAAAGACAAGCTATTAACACAGGTCTACACCCTACCACGCACTGGTTTAGGTAAGTTGACGATGTATTTTGTAGATTTGAAGACAACCACCACCAACAGTCATTTCTACAACACGTAAACAACATTCACTAACACCAAATTCACTCAATGCGAGAATGAAAACCAGGTTTTGAATTACATGAACGTAACAGAAATAAACTTCAACGGTTTTAAACACGAATACCTTCCCTCCTCAAGTGTGGTAATGATAATTATATAATGTGGTACTCAACCCACTGAACTTGAAAAAAAAATCAGCACGTGAATTAGAATCAATATCCGATATATTTAATAACAAATGTCACTTCCTTAAACATACTGTCACTAGAACTTTAGCCAACTACAAAAACAAACACAATAACAGAAAAGGAAGAAACAATCTCCATGAAGGATATAAAGATACGCAAACTCAAACACACTAAAAAGTCTTACCATTTCATATATATATATTTATATTTTTATTTATATTAACTAAACAGTACAGTTGTCGAAGAAACGTTTATTCTGACAACTTCAACGATAGAAGAAACTATAAAGTATAAACGTGATCGATGCGGCAGCACTTATGTAGGCGAAACAGATCGCAATATATACATTTGGAACAAAGAACATAAAATCCCCCCCTCAATCATACATTTACGAGCACAGCACAACAAATAAACATCCAAATAACATTAACAACCATAAAATATTATGCAATGAGAACAACATTAATAGAAGAAAATAAACACTAGCACTTCGTGAATCAAACCCTAATTTAAAATCAAAACACCTGTGCCACCTATGTTTTTTTTAAACTAGAACAAAATGGTCGCGCAATATTTCACACAATAGACGACAGTTACCTGATGATGGGCACACAAGTGGTAGAAACGTAATAAAGTTATACCAAAAAAAAAAAAAATAATCCACTCAAAAACTGTACCTATGGATTGTTATTTAAATTACACAGTGGATTTTCTCTCCTCACAACAAATGTTTAAATATTATTTTAAATTGTCTCTGCACAAGTTCTATTAAGCCATTATTTTTCTTTAGACGTTAAAACTGAAACTTCGTGTATTATTATTCTGGATATCATGTGACGAAATTTGGTTAGTTAGTTAAAGAAATACATCACAGAATAATATAATTGTGAACATATCGACGTTTCTAATTGAGAGAAAAGAAATTGTAACTAGGCAACTTAATTACAGGGTCAGTTCATCATATTTGCGATCCTCTTGCGAGTACCGAGCAAACCATTTCGGCCATTTTAACGACCCTCACCGCTTTTCGCCCGTGTACTACTCGTCTCACTCTAGTTAAAGATCCATAATTCTTGTTCACCGAGGTTTGCATAATAAATATAGGTTATTCGTGAAATCGAATATGTTCATAATCAAAACAGATACTGGATATAATAAATGGAGCAAAATAAAGAAAGTTTTTATTTCTTCTTTGTTTTGTTTTTCAAGATGTACTACTTACAACTTCCTAGACTTTGAATTAATGAAAAAAAATTTACTGGCTGGATACATAAAATAGACTAAGAAAGCGATTAAAATCTCATTTAATTTTTGATAGTAAAATTAAGTATAAGAATAATAAAATACAATGTTTTGCCCATTAAATCCATGGATGAATAAAAGTGCAGCTTTTGGCGAGGACTTTACTCGGAAAGCTGCGACTTGTATCTACACTCAGACTTTGTTAATTCAGTATGTGGAACCCATTCTTTGAACCCAGACAGTCGCTTTGCAAAGATGCTTTTCCTATAGAAGATAAAAAACACATATATCAAAACCTCTCAAAAACAGTTTATGGTTTGTTCAAATTTACAAAATTTTGAGTATTGAATTATATTAACTGCTAGGTTAGTATTCGATTAATTGCTTACTATCAATATGGCAATATAGTTACTGGAAAATCTCAGCAACTAGATTCTGTATTATTTCCTTAATGAACTTATTACACGTTACTTTGTTCATTTTACTTCAATATTTCGTACATTAAACCTGGTACATGTGAAATTCAATACAAAATAGCACAAATTATATGAGAAGTAAAAAATAATCATTTCGAATTGTTTTTAGTTACGATATCTTAAAAATCAAAATTAGTATTATTTATTTTGTGCAACTGCCCCTTGGTGGATCAGCGGCATGTGTGACGGCTTGAGCGCCAAAGGTCAGGTTTCAATACCTATGGTGGAGACAGCACAGATTGTCCATTGATAAAGATATTTTGCATCTTCGAGCTTAACATTTTTTTTCTTTTGCAACAGCAGAGTCCCTGTAAATAAACTCTCTCACCGAGTCTCGGGTCACGTTGCTATTCTTCTTTGTTAGATTTTGCGCAAATGTATTCCAGGGCTACTTACACTAGCTGTTCCTAATTTTGAAATGATAGATTGAATGAAAAGCAGCTAGTCAACACAACCGCTAATGATGGATTTCGATTCGGCAACCCGAAGGTAGCGAGTCGAGTACCCTAACCACCAGGATAGTTAACTGATCATATTAAAGCAGTTCATCCCTTCTACTAAGTTCTAACTCATATGTAATCACTCAAGTGAACAGTTTACCGCATTTTAAAGTAAGCAGGAATAAAATTCATATCTGATATAACACCTTGTTATCAACATTTTTAAATATTATCATCCCGGTAATACATACCTCATTGACAGCAATTTCACAGTTTTCCACATCTTCCAAGGGCACCTCATTTTTCTTGCATGTAGTAGTAGCAATTTCGATAAGTACTTCGTAGTTCACACCGCTCACCACCTGAATAGGATGTACTTAATTTAATCTTTCGTAAAAGAAAGAAATATATAAGTAATTGAAATCAACAATCTAATCTATACCATAATTAAAGGCAAGTAAGCCTACAACATTTGATGAAATCTCATGTCTAAATAGGAAATTTCTTACTTCTTTTCTCTTATTAACTGACTTTTAAAAACTTTAACGCATTTCAGAACAGTCTTCTAAAAAAAATGCGTTAAACGAAGAATACAGAAAAAACGCAGTCGTATTTTTTATAAGGTGAAATTGAAAGAAGTTAAAAGACCTTAACTATTTAACAGATGTTAATAGTTACTTGTGTTCGAGCTTTATGAATCTTTACTAATTTGTGGTGGTAAATAGAAGAAAATCCTGAACTCAGTTCTTTTGTTGCGAATTTTGCTGCATTCTTAACCCCTGTGTTTTCAACACTTTCGTCAGTCCATCCTCCAGGTATCTGTAGTCCAACAGAAACTCCAACCAAAACAATAACAACTACAAAGAGGCACAAACCGTGACCCTCCATAACGTTGATTTTCTGAAAATGTTGCGTTTCGATCTAGTCATGCTTAAATAAAGTGATGATCATGTGACATACACAACTTATGTAACTGTAGCGCATTTTCTTCGACAAAGATCTGGTTTTTCGTTGCACACTTCCTTCCCTTGTCCTTCTTTATCGCAGTTTACAGTAGAGGCAGAAAACGTCCTTGATGAATCACAGCTTGATAAAACTGAAATAAGAGAACACGTCAGGGCAGAGTTGCTTGCTTAATATGAAAAACAATAACCTGAATGGGAAAGTTAATTTACAAAAATACTTTTAATATATCTAATAAATGATTATATCTTGCTTACAAACATTTATTATAATTATAGCAGTATTATCAATACTGAATAGACGGTCACCAAACAGATTACCGTACACTTGTTTTTACCCTGACATCCAGGGTTGGGATAGCAGTATTATCAATACTGAATAGACGGTCATCAAACAGATTACCGTACACTTGTTTTTACCCTGACATCCAGGGTTGGGATAGCAGTATTATCAATACTGGATAGACGGTCATCAAACAGATTACCGTACACTTGTTTGTGACCTGACATCCAGGGTTGGGATAGCAGTATTATCAATACTGAATAGACGGTCACCAAACAGATTACCGTACACTTGTTTTTGCCCTGACATCCAGGGTTGGGATAGCAGTATTATCAATACTGAATAGACAGACGGTCACCAAATAGATTACCGTACACTTGTTTTTACCCTGACATCCAGGGTTGCGAGGGTTTTATATTTGGGTCCGTATGAATGTATGCCCGCACACGTATCTCTAAAAATAATGAACCAGTTTACGCGAAAGTTTTATAGAAGATAGGGCGTCCCCATAGAACGGTTTTCGCCAAATCTCATCCGGATTCTAGATCACTTTTTTTTTTTTCAAATTGGGGAGATAGGACATATTCCCAATTTTTCATGGATAACTCACAAGTGATTAGCTTTGGACAACATTTTACAGGCATATTAACATTGAGACTTTCCAGGATTCTACAAAAAAATTATCTGGATCCGTTGAACCTTCTGCATCCGAGAAGGATTTTTGGTAATTTTTTAGGGTGAAATTTGAAAATTCTTAAAAATTCAATTTTAATGATATGAAGCTGTAATTTTTAACAAACATAAACTGTTTATTGGTTTTTGATATAAGGTCAGTTTTTCTACGTCCTATCCCAAGAATGAAAGATCCATCTGGATCAATATCAATACTATTCCACTCCCATACATCTCGATGATGCGGTGAAAATACCATGAAAACAGTATGTTATCAAATACAAATGTATTATAATTTGGACAATAATCCTTAACGCATTGCTTGACTAAAAAGTTTTTTGAGTTGCAATGGTGAAAAACATGGGACGGTTTTTTATTGTGTTCTATCAATCTGGTTTCCAATTTTCTTCCTGTT